ATATATATATATATATATATATATATATTGCCAAGCAATAAAATAAATAATGGCTGCCTGAAGCTGTTACAATGTACCTCTTTCTGATGAGGGCTGTGACTGACGCCCTAAAAGTTTAAAAACTTGCCAAATATATCGGTTAAAACCACAGTTCCTAATTTTTTGTCACTCTTTCAGTTGAACACCTTTTCAGTCAAGGAAATTTTCTAGGAACACTTATGCACGTCATCACTCGACAGCGCGATGTTTCAACGCTTTCACGCCAGTCCGTGAGTTTAGATTTCACTTAGGTAGACCGTAAATTTGAATGCAAACTTTTTAGCACGGAACAGGATGCATGAGTCGTCGTTTAGCCCCCCAATCCGTTCCTCAATCTGCTAAAACAAAAGAAGCCTAAGCTCTAACCAATTTTCTACTGTTCATTTAGGCCTTAATTTTGCAAACACCACTTAATCTTCAACTGTTCAACTGCTTATCTACTACATAACAGCAATTTTATGAAGATATAAGCACAATAAATAGTATTCTTGCTTAGGTCTTTATTTTAAATTGTTGCTGAATATTTGATGGTCGATAACATCGAATAATCCCGAATCTTTCAAGTGTTTTTTTTTCTCCAAATTTCTTAACCAATCAATTGCAGCTTTCTCTTGCTAGACGACATTAATCAGTTGTCTATCAAATAATCGCGCTCAATTCAAAAACTCTTGTCCATTCACGGCTGCATACGACAACAATTCCAATTTAAAACGCTTTTTTTGCTCGATTTTTTTCACGCAACAATTGAATTTTGCTGTAATTCTTATCAATACTGAATAATACACAGAGTATATCAATGTAACTGATCAGTTAAAAAGTTTATTCTTCAACTATGTATAGCCAAACAACAACAAAAATCTCAAAATAACAAAGGTGATAAAGCTGACTGTTGACACATGATATAATTGTTTTACTAAGGCACTGATCAACAACTGTTTTTTTTTTGAGACTGCTCTACTTCTGTGGCTTGTTCCCTACAGCCACAATAAACTCCTCTCCACTTTCACCATTTTCAGTCGTATCCACATTTTTCTCCGTATCCATATTTGATCGTTTCTGAGTCACATTATTCCTCTTATTTTCTCCGACGCATTCAGTTGACTGAACAAACGGTAATAATTAAATAAAGCTTAATAAAACAAAACTGATGATTGAAAAATCAAACAAATAAAAAATCTTTTTCTCATTTTACCATTAGGTTTAGCCACAGCAGAATACTCTCTTCGAATATGCGCGATCTGCTGCATATTGCAACTTCGTCCGTGCCTTGTATCAATAAAGATCCGTTGTAGATGGTGTCGCTTTTTCTTTTGCAGTGTTTTCAGCTTCAGCATCTTCTTATCAATAATGTAATCCTCTGCGAACGAATAATTAAATAAAAACCTTCTCAGAACATTTAGATGATCTCATGATGATCTGTTTTGCTTGTTCCACTTCACGACGTGCATCTTGCAACAATTGGTATTTGGTTAACGTCATCGGATGACCTTTACCGAGCGTTGAACTCAAGATATCGTGCGCCATTTCCAGATACAATTCAGCACGATGCGGATGTCCACATCTCAAACGGTTGCTTTCTCATTCATTCGGTTATTTAGCATTTACCGGCTCTCCAAAAGATGACGAATATTTTTTGTTCAGCAACAATCAAAAATGAATGTGTAAAACGGGATTGATTACTCAAAACGAATCGGCACGCAAACAAGCTACTGAACTGAACACAAAACATAAAGAACTTAGCCTCACTCACCTCAAATAGAAAACACCGATATTACTTAGATGGACGGCAAGCGCGGGATGGTTGTCTGGAAAACAAAACCGAACGCATTCTTCGGATTGTAGATGAAGTTTCAATAATGTTTCATTATCACGTGGATCGATCAGGGGAATAAGCATCTAAAATAAACACTGATAAAACAGTCTCACGTAAAAGAGGCGACAATTAAATCAATTCTCATTTCAGAAAGGTACAAAATGAAAATGGAGTAACCTGAATGATTTTGCATACGAAAACATTTAAGTTAGGTAAAATCCGACTGAAACGGTCTTTGACAGACGTCAAAAAACGAATGGCCTGATCATTGCGCATCTGCAACGATAACGACAATCACAATAGTGATAATATCACCACACTACTATGGAACACCACTGCACTAACGCATACAGTAATACCTGATCTGTTTGATTACTTTGTAATATTCGATTAATAAATTGCATTGCATCGATTGCTTCGACAACTTTCTCTTTCGCTATCTCCGTTGCGCATTTGGGACACGTTATAATTTGCGTCACTGGATTCTTATACGGCCATTCGCCGAAAATACCCAATTTTTCCTGAGTATATCATCACTTTTATTTTAGCACATTACGTTAATGATAACATACGAACAGTCATTATTATGATGTTGATAATGAGAATAAGAGCATTTAAAGGAAATGTTCACTGTGAAATGATCACGAAAGTAAATTTACCGAACATTCGGGACATAGCATCGATGTAAGCATGTTATCTTCATTATCAACACATCTCGCACATTCACAGTCAAAGTACCATGTGTCTTTCAACAATTTCCTTCGTTCTTGCCGACAACTGCAAACAGTTCACTGTAGAATTCAACACTCTTAAGTTCCTACAACAAATAATTATGGTAAGAAATCTTTCGGTTTCGCGCTTTTATGTTACTCAGCCCACTATAATTCATTGTAATATTATCTGTGTAATATTTGCTCTGCGTACAGATTGTAATTTATCTATTAAGAAACATAACAAGAGCGATCATCGAGTGCAGTCGTATTATTTCGAGCCATCTCCATGCACTGTGCACCTTTATGATCGCCAAATCGACATCAGAATTTCATGCACACGGATAATTCTCTACGCTTTGATTCTTAGCAAAGAAGGTTGTCAACAATGTGATATCTACGATGAAGATGATAAAAGAAGTGCACTAACTCGTATTATTAATAATAATAATAATAATAATAATAATAGTAATAGTAACAGTAATAGTAATAGTAATAGTAATAATAATAATAATAATAATAATAATAAATAATAATTGATAATAATAAATAATATAAATAATAATAAATAATAATAATAATAATAACGCACTCACTTAATCACATCGATATAAGAATAAAATGTTGCTGATCGATTGGTCAATTGAACATCTGAATTAAGCGCTCGTAACGTCGCCACAAACCCGTTACATGTGTAAATTGTATTCGGTCGACAACTATGATCGTATGCACACAAATCCAAATATAACCCCTTGCCAATCTCCTCAAATGTGAACAATCAAAACTAAATATATATTTCCAAATCATTAAGAAATGGTTCATTGAAAAAATAAAAGATAAATGCAAATGAAAACTGAACGAAAAAAATAAAGAAGTGAATAAATGCATTCTCACCTCCAAATATGCGACATCACTAATCGCATGACGATTTATATAATCGCGGCAGTGCAACTCGAACGCCTCTTCTTTGGTTAACAGTGCTCGTGTTCCATAGAATGTAACCAACTTTTTGTATACATCTCAACAAATTGAACAATACTCAACTTCACCAACAAAAAACAATCTCAAAACTTTTTATCATCACCTTTTACTGTTACCAATAATCGAAAACAACACAATTAAAAAATCGCTGATAGAATAAGACTGATTCAAAGAGATTATAAACCAACAAACCATATAATTCTTCTTCCTCCTGAACAAAAAAAAAGGGAAAAACAAACCAATAAGTAAACAATTACATACAATAGCAATGATAAACAAAAGTCGAAAACTAACCATTGAATTTGTTCATCGCCAATGAATCGTTTCGAATTCGATCTGTATGCGCCCAAATATCCATTATGGATCGTTCGGATGTTCGATGCAAGTAGAACGTTTCATCTTTTTTATCGAAACCATTTTTGATTGCCTTAAAAATGCAAACAAACAATCTGATTTTACACGTTTTCGGAACGATGTGATGCTGCATAAAAAATGTCACTTGAATGAGAGCACCTAAGCAGAATGCGTACATACCTTATACCTGGTGATAATACGACCCAATAAACGAATCTCAATATTTGGTATTTCGTGACAACTCTTCAACGCTTTGCATTCGGCTCGATGATCTTTCCAGGCCAACTTCTGACACTTCTCATCACAAAACATCGCTTTACTACATCCACTACAGCGTCTGCAATGAATCAATATGTTAATAATTACTCTTACATATACATCACTTCGCTTTTTCGTATCAAATCTGTCGACGAAACAGAATGAATAAAATGAATTCACATCAAACACAAATGAACAAAATCAAACCGTAGACTACTGCTTTTTGGTACCAACAAACAATACCAACAGTGATCATCTAAGTACTGGTTATAGAGCGCGTATGCGAACGGATAGAATTCTTTGGTTGGATACACTGAATCGCTGTCATTCCCTGACACTTCAGTGCACTTCGACGATTCACCATCATCATTTCTCACGTGTTTTCCTCCTTCGCTCTCCAACGATTTCCTCTTCTCAGCAGCACACACCGTCGTTTGATCGCTGCTGCTACGTGTACACTTTGTTACTGAACTTTCATTCACCACCTACAAATCAATGGCGATTAGTTTTATGAATTAAGAATAAAACTTCAAGTTTGACAAATCAAACTTCTTCTCAGCCAAACTTTCAATTCTGGTCGCTGACGGCAGCGTGAATGATCTGGCCCGAGCCTGGCTGGATCAAGAGTTATCAGGGCTGGGCCAACATTTACCGATTCAAACTGGAAGGAACACATGCACAAATGTGCATTATGCAAATTCGGATCAGTCCAAAAAAACTTAATGAAGACAATTGATATGCAAGATCTGAAGAAATTTCACCCTTTAAAAATGATTTCTAGGAGGATCTCAAGTATTGGGCAATTAGATGTCTAATAAGTATTAATCGCTCGTTAACAGAGTGCAATGGCCATGATGGTGCTTGGATGTAGATCAAGATCGCTTCACAGAGACACTGTTTTTGATACTGATTAACGCATGCTTCACGTTTTGTTGGCTGAACCTCTCTTCACAACGCTTTTTTTCCTGCACATTGGCTCAGCGTTTTCACAACCCTTCCGATCTTGCTCCGGCAATTCTACTATACCACCAACGTTGACTGCTAGTGCTTAATTTCATCGCGTCTAACTTCAACGTTTCGAACGAGTGGATAAACAGAGAAGTGAATGTAGAAATACCAACCCGAAAAGTCTGCTTTGATGAGCTGTCATTACTGCAATTATTGTGTTCAGTGGTCACTTTGTTGTGATGTTGCCTGCTTCGAGATGAATGATTATTGTTTTTGTTGGATGACGTTCCATTCTTTCTACCCATTAAAATCTACGATTTAATTGCTGTCCAAATCGACAAATCAAATTAAGTCGTCTACTTACTGAACGACAATGCAACTGATGAACGACAGCACCATGTTGTACAATTAGTCTGTTAACAGCGCTAAAATTGTCTAACATCACACTGAACCCGTGATTTTCACATCGAATTATCTCGAATCAAACTCGCGATCTGATCCGTTCCAACGACACACATTCTATTCTCTGTTGGCGACGCACTCAGTGAACTAACTCTCTTATGGAGCCAATACAGATTTTGATGTCATAACCACTGCCAATAACAACATTAATAATAAAAATGAAAGTGTGCCACTAGCAAATAAAGATATTCACTGCTTTTGTATGCAATACAAATTTAGCAAGGAATTCTTTGAAGAAAATGAAAAAAATTACAAAATAATATCTTCATTCACAGGATCCATATCATATCAGACTACAACAATATGTGAGCATATAAACTGAACAACACATCAATCAGATCAACTGAACACAGAAATGAGCACAGATCACAGGAGGGGAATATGTCAAAGAATTCGTCAACTCATCTCGTTTATAAACCACAAAAGCACTCACTCATTCATGTTTTGCAGCCCATCGCATAAGCAGTTTGTGTGTTTCTTTTTTTTTTCTAGAATAATGTAGAGGCCATAAGTATTTGCGAACTGATCGGGCCTCATACACAAATTACAAAACGAATATACATTTACCCACTTACAGTAACGAACATGAACAAAACCAATTAATCACGCATCAATTGCACCTAATTAAATCACAAACAAAAAAAAAACAAATCAATCTGAACAACATAAATGATTTCAAGAAATAATCTATTTGAATAAATCATCTGAATCTGAATCAAAAATACCCCCGCCGTGGACTACTTTCTGGCTCGATGATTTTTTGGCTGTTGTTGTTGTTGTTGTGGATGTAGGAGATGTGCTTTTTCGTTGAATTTTGCTTGAAATTTCAGCACTCCGTTGCTGCGTCACACTAGTTGAGGTCGTAATAATGTTACTTTGTGAACGATAAGATGAAGGTGTGCGTAGAGGAGATGACGCGATATCCTCTGCCGTATCGTCATCAGAGTCATCGAAAATTGACTTTGATTTTGCTGGCTTCTTCACACTGCTGCCGCTGCCGCTTATAACCCCCTCGCTTGTTCTTATCGGCATTTTGGCGGACGATGATCCCTTAGCAACAGCCGTATCATCGACAGCAATCAAACCAGAACTATCATTAACAGTGGTCAACTTTGTCTTCGGATCGTGAGCCTTCAATTTCGACGAGAATGCAAAGATGTCGTCATCTGAATCCGACGAATTCGAATCGGATGCGAACAAACCTCCTTTTGCCATCGTTCGTTTTCCTCTTGCTTTGCCAGCAACGCTAACAACAGCAGACGGTGTCCGTTGTTGTGTTTCACTTGCGTATGGATTCAGCTCTTCATTGGAATGTGCTATTGCTGTGTGTTGTTCGACCGAACACGATGTTGATTCACCTTCCTTTATTAGTTCTTGATCAGTGAGCACTTCTTCGACACTGCTCTTATCATCATCCTCATTCGTTTTTGTCGACGTTAAATTCTTAGTACTATCCGTCTCGCCGCTATCATCAACTGAAACTGTTGTCGCTGACACCATTTCTGCTTTATTCGATGATTTATCACTGGAAATATCGTCGTTTTCAAGTCTCCCATTCAACACATTATCTTCAATCTTCTTTTCCATAATACCAACTGTTGTTTGTGCAACATTTCCAATCACGTCTGAAATTTGTAAAATTTTTCGTGCTATCCTTATCAAAAGCCCCTTGCATTCACTCACCTTTATTCTCAGCTGATAATGTTTTGGTTCTTCTTGCTTGTCGCGTTGGCTGGGCGCGTCGACTTGGACCTTTCGTACGTGACTGTAACAACAATTTATTATTATTATTATTATTACTATTATTATTAAAAGAAAATACAGATACAATGAAGAACTTAAAATAACGAAAGTATACCTTAACAAGAGAAGGTAACAGCGTATTTGTATGATCATTATCATCAGATACTTTCTGATGTATCGAAACAGCGCTCTTATCATCCGTCTTCACATCGTTCGTCGTCAATGAACTTGCCGCAGCATTGGACTGAAGCAAAAAAAGTTTAGAAGAAGGGCAGCTTGAAATGAATTGGTCAGATATAACGACTAACTCACTTTTGGTGAAGTAGTAATCAGTTGAGAGAGACGATTTGCAAAATTCGACGAAATACCTCCCGGACGGTTGCGAAAGACCGGTTTTTCTGACGATGACATCTTAAAAATGGAATTTTCATAATTACGATTCTAATCTGATCTACTATTGATAACAATAATCGCTGCATTTACACAATAAACAAAGCGATCGATCATCATCCATAATATGTCGCAATGCAGCAGCAATTGCACAACAACAAAACGCACGCTATCGTTCCTCTCATAATTCAGCGTACGATTCTATTGTATTCAAGTTGTTTTCTTAAAACTTGCTTCTCTTCTACATACAACAACAATTTCAACAACAATAGCGATAGCACTATTGACAAGCACGAGTAATGACGCTGAGCTCAACCATAGTATAATACTATTACACAAGTGATGATAGTGCTAACTGATGATCTTTATCGTTTATCCATTGATCCTTCATCCACCACCCACCCACCCACACACAAACACACACACACAGATAACGATTTACACTCTTCCTTTCAACAAACACAACATTACAATTTCAATTTCGAATCAATTAATACTGTTGTCATTGTTTTCGTTACACTCTTAAACGTTCCAAATCATCAATTTCTCGTCCATACAACACAATACAAATCATACAGACTCCTTATATCTGTACATACATTATCTACTCATACAAACATCAAAATGCATTTATTTTTTCATACACATTCGCTTGTATATACATACCGCTTGAATAAACCATCGCCAATTATCTACAGTGTAACTGGTAGACTTATTTGCTTTTCCATTCGATCAATTCAAATAGATGTCTAAATTTTCTCACTTTACAAAAGACATTCACTCACGTATTTACGAACAAAATACTTTCCGATATACCACGACAAACAAACAAAAAACACTCAAAAATGAGACCAATCAATGCGTGTGGCTCATTTGCAGTTTCATCATGCAAATAATTCTGAACCGCTTTTAATATCTCACTCACATTAATGATCACTTCTGTTTTCTGCAGAATTGATATGCCACAACTTTCTCACACTTCTGTATTGGATCAAAATGAACAAATGAAAAATAAACAGGCAAGCAAATACATAATATAAATATTACCGTTGAACTTTTGAATAAATCGTCTTCGTCTGAATCATCATCGAACAAATTACTCGTCAACGTTGTCGTTACTATTGCACCCGATGCAGTTGCAATTGATTTGTTCATCTGTTTGAAATAAATTAAACTGCTTTAAGTATGCCTAATATTTAAATCAACAAACAAATACATTTACTGCCTTAAATAATTCATTCAATTAGTCAAAGAAAGTGAAGCTCGACCCGATTAATCGACGATTCGATGAATGCGCAAGGATGATCGATCAAAACACAAAGTTGTTCAACGGTTTTAATGTTTTAAATGTCCGGAAACTGAAAAAAAACACACACACAGAGCTAATAAACGTACATTGGGATATGATGAGGAGTTAATGGAGGTGGAGGATAATTTATTAGGATGACTGTTCGCTGTAGATGAGGACTGCGATTGCTGTTTCTGAAGACTGTCCGAATTCTGAAGATGTCGATCATTATGAGTGGTTGAAACGGGATGAAGATTGGCCGTTGAGTTGTGTCGAGAGTTGGCATGTGGTTCATCGTCAATCTTTTTCACTTTGACATCAGCAAATATATCGTCATCTGAATCAGAATCGCCAAATAACGACGTCACGTTCTTGTTGAACAAATTCGTAACATTTGATGAAGCTGAAACAGCCGCCGCGGCAACACTCTGAAATGAATAAATGAAATCAGATTAACAAGCAACTATTCGATGGAATAATTTACAAACGCATCGACTCACTGGTAACGAATCGGCACTCGATGTGTTGCTTTTCAACTGTTTTGATGCAGCAATCGCGGATTTTGATGTTTTGATGGATTTTTCACTGAACACCGTTGGTTGCTCTTCGTCATTTTCAGCATCGTAATCATTCGAACCTGTCATCAATGAATCAATCGAAAATGCATCAACTTGATGATGGATAAAATAGATCGCGTGGCACATATACAATGCTGCTTTTTTTTACGATACACGTCACAAATGAGCTGCATGCACCAAATAACGGAACAGAGAAATGATTTATTTGATAAGCACTATTCACCTGGTGCAAAAATAACCGAGTTTCGGTGACTCTTCGGCTGATAGTGATCGATTGATGAGGATGACGACGGTTTAGATAACTGATTCTGGGATTTGTGGTTCTGTTGTTGTACTGAATTTGGTAATGGTGCTGCTGGTGGCGATACTACTTCAGTGCTTTTCGATGCTAACGGATCGGGTTCGATTCGTTTTTGTTGTTTTCGTGAAAGTTCCGAGATTAACGATGCTCCCACTGCTGCTGCAGCAGCTCGTCCAGATATGCCACCCCCACTGTTCAGCGGTGCGCTTTGAGATGATTCCGCTATTCTTCCCTATAAATTCAACACTTGTTCAACCACATATGGGCATACCATACCAATTCAAAGTCACTTGTACACAACCTTCTTGTAAGCAGGCGATGAGAAGAGATCATCACTGAACAGTGCCTCATCACTGCTGCTACCATTATCGTTGTCACTCGCAAACAGCCCCGAACGATGCGAATCCGTCACACTCTCAACTACTGTTGTCGTTGCTTTCCGCTCTTGTTGTTTTTGCAGCAGTTCGCCGTCGTCATCATCATCATCGTCATTTTCTTCTTCCCCTTCCTCCACATCATACTCACGCCTATTCGTACAATAATCATTACCACTTAAACATAATGTCTATCTATTGGCATAAGCATAAATGAATGTTTTGAAAGAACAATAATATTCATTCACATACGTTGTTGTTCGATGCCCATTTATACGATGAGCATCAGCGGTAATGTGATGTGGTTGTATGAACTGCGGTAAACCAATTACTATTTCCTCTCCTTTTGTTCTCTGCAAGAACAAAACAAATTAATTATTGCCATTAAATTTGCTATTTCACTGAATTAACATCAATGTTCTTGAGAATGATGGACATAATCAAGAGTGCATACAACATTGAATAAACACGTACTTCAGTGAGATGATCACCAACAGCGAACGAATCAGAGATACCGATCGATGGTGAGGTGTTCCATTCAGGTGTTCCTAACAAATGGGGTAACGCTCGCGATAGGTGTGAGTCCCGAAATAATAACAATAATAATATTATAATAATATAACGAGAATAATAATCATGATCAAAAGAGTAATAACAAATGAACTTCTAAGCAAATCGATGAACTTACGTAGGGTTCGAAAATTGGATCAGGAGTGAACGTTGGATCGTCATCTTCGTCGAAATCTTCGGGTCTCATTTCGATTCGTTTGAAATGTGATTTAATCATTTCGAATCCTAACGCAACCGCTTCACGCATATTTTCAACTGTTTCTTCTTGTCGTTTCGAAGATGCTTCACGCATATTTTCAACTGTTTCTTCTTGTCGTTTTGAAGATTTTTGCTGAATTACGTTTGAAAACGGACAAAATTATTTGAGAGAATTGTAGTAATATTAAAGTTTCACATGAATCAGTAGATAAACAACCAACTTCCTCGAGACTGCTGCTGCTGCTGCATCGCGGTGCAGGTGGAGGATCGTCGTAGACACGCTGCAACAATGTTCTTATTAAATCCAACTACAAATCTGTTCAACACACGAACATTTTCTATAAACTGATCATTGGCAAACGATGTCAGTCGATTGTCGGCATTCGTCATATTCACAACCGAACGTGTTATCGCCACATTACTCTCCTCTAATCTCTTCAACGTCTCATCGATGCGTCCCATCAACGACTCCTCTAGTCCATTCAGTAATGAACACAACTGAACAAGTAAACATTATCTCTGCATTACACCCAAATCACTATCCACTCATTTAACGTGTCCTCCCCTCAATTTCTTCCATTGAACGTAAAACAACTTCAATGAATTCACAAACCTTATTATCTTCAGAAAGAGTCCAAACATTCGCAGAAGTTTTCAGCTGATTGATATTTTCACAAAGTTGTTCAGTGTTATGCATCGAGCATGATTGCTTTAAGGGAGGAGTAGAAGAGACGCTTTCAGTGGGCATTTCGTTTAGCACCTTCCTTCCTTAAAGTGTAAGCACGTCCAGTATAAGCTCGTAAAGTTCATTTTTCTAACGAAATCGTCATTTGACGACTGAATATCAAAGCAATTTCTACTTGTCTGATGAATGTACAACAAAATTAAGTATCAAAATGTTTTATTACATTACTAAAAAATGTGAAAAGAGAACAAAAAACGAACAACTTTATTCAACGTAATGTACACATGATAAACAGACATTTCAATAATAATAACAGTGCAACATCTCAAACAAATATGCTATTTATAGAGTACTATCATCATGTAATAAAATTTCGATCACCATAACGAACAGCCACATATATTTATCTCGTAAACCTCAAATGACCAGAGGCACGCGTACACGCATCGCTTTCTTCATCATCAATTTATCAATTCATTTAGTATATTGATGACAATAGTATTAACGATGATAAATATTACTTTTAAACGTTATAAACGTTTGATAGCCTGGCCAATCCAGGTAATCCAGGTAAAAATATTACTTTTACAATAAAGGCAAATAATACTGACGAGTTTTGAGAAGGCAAGAGACTACGAAAAAGAATGAACTCATTCGCTTGCTCGTCATCAGATGCTCGACTTTAGCACCATTCAATTGACGGAAACAGAAGCAACCTTTTGTGACTAATAATCGTTATAAATAAACTGGAAATGACTCAGAGAAGGAAGATTGAACAAATGATGGAACGTGATTGAAATAAAATAAGATCAGCCGATATTATTGCTAGTGAAGAAGATGAATCAAGCCGATTGGAATTATGTTGTGAAATAGGAATATCAACGGAACAGAATGGTGTTCACCGACGCTGGTTGTTGTTGTCACTGTATTGCTGATTACGCCGTTGTCGTCTCAGCGTTGGATTCAACACCACTGAGCTAGTTCCAGCGTAGGGCGTCTCCATATCCTCGCCGTCGTACGGTTCATAAGTCACATCAAAACTGCCGTCATCATCCATCACAACTGCACATACCATATGATCATCAGTTGATGTCATCATAAACAACAAACATATTCAGCAAGCCTAAATGCTCACAACTAACAACTCACAAATATCCTCGTCCAGTAACGCATCCGAAACGCCTCGTCGTCTTGTCGATCCCCCTCCAGCTATCAACACCACATCACTATCATTACCATCATCAGCTTCATTCTCCTCGTCATTCCCATTAATGCCATTCTCCTCCTCATCGTCACCTTCGTTGCTGTCATCCGCCTGAAACAGTCATCGAGTCCGTCTCAAATGAACACCACAAAACAAACCAACTAACCGAGTTATCAGCCATCTGACTACTGTTGTTGTTGTCGTTATGCGCAGTGTTCTCATCGTCGCCACTGCTCATGTACTCGGATGTCCAGTCGTCGTCAGAGTACGCCTCGGCGTTGCGATCACCACCGATCCACATCACCTGTTGTGAGTCTGACGAGCCCGATGCAGCACTGCCCGCCTCACTGCCGTCCTCGTCAGAGTCATCGCCACTCTCCTCATCCTCTTCGTCGTCCTCATCAACGTCGTCATCGTCATCATCATCATCATCATCATCATCATCATCATCGTCGTCGTCATCCTCATCATCATCATCATCTTCTTCTTCTTCACTCGATGATGTCTCAACACCGTCATTTTCCTCCTCCTTAATCAGTTCATTATTTCATATAACTGCATTCAACAGTCAACAGTCAAATCCTTACCTCGTTGAAATCATCAACACCACGCGGTTTGCCCACCTCATAGAGGCGGCACACATTGCCATTGCTACGTAATGATTCAACGGTTTCGATTAAGGCAATATATTCATCTTGATGATCACAACTGATATCGTAAGTATTACGTTTCACATCTACTGTTGCAATCACCTGTAATCTGCTCATTTTAGCACCGATCAAACACATTCAGTCAATAAACAACAACACTAGAATGCACTCTATTACTGAGATGCAAATAAGAATCGATCGAAGAATGCGGTTAGTTCTACAAAACGAACTTGATAATCGGTTGAATCGAACGTTCGAAACGATTGTGATAAATAACGGCCATAGTTCGCTGCACCACGATTGGCCACATACGATGCTGAATTCACTCATTCATTTGTGGTAATTCGTTGAAATTGTTGATTATTCAAAAAGCAAAAAAAGAGCAGAAAAAAATTAGAAGAGAAACTGGAAGTTTTACATTAGGCAAAAGTGATTAGCAATAATAATAATAATAATAATAATAATAATAATAATAATAATAATGTCTTGCAAGGATGTATCCATCATTCAAATCAATCAAACTAACCAGCAAAAATGACGTCACCAGTTGCATTGAATTTAATTTTACATCCAGCCAACGCCGGTACACAATGAAGCAAGTTGAACGTCCTTATATCCCACTGCAATGTTCACCTTGTTACAAACTCGATGCATGTTTGCTATGGCAATAAGCATCTCTGATAATAACGAACCACTTCTGAGTTGATTATCACCTCAGTGCCATGCGGATGGAACAGCCCACTGTGCTTATCATAGAATTTATCGAATTTGTGAACGGGACGAACCGGTGAACGCACATCCCACAATACACCATCACTTAGTACCAAGTCGTCTGTTGGATCGAATGTTGCTCTACAACAACAACAACCAATCATTCAATAACTAATGAGCACAAGCAAACATTACTTGTTATATTCGTAGTCACAAGCCAGCGTTTCGTCGCGTAACCGTACTAAAGCACGACCAGTCTCTATATCATATATCTGAAATCATACAAACAATTATCATAACCATTCAAAAATAAATAATAATAACAACAAACCATCGCTTCATCAAAACGTGTACCAATAATACGATTTTGTGAGTTTTTACTAAATTCCGCATAGCGAACATCTCTGAACGTGAACATATGCTCTTGTGTTTCAGCGATTCGCCATAGATGAGCCACCCTCACCGAAGACGTCAACATCAATGAGCCATCCTACAGTAATTTCAGTTTAATAATTAACGCGCCTCGTTTATAAAACAATCGTTATAAAACAAACATTTGATTGCTGTATCGCTTTCAGTTCAGCTGGATGGCAGTTCGTTGTTGACTCCTCCACTCGTGTATTCACATTGAACCAGTGCAACGTTCCTGCGTTCGTACCCAATATTATATGCTCGTTATCGATCTAAAAACAACAAACATCATAAATAACGATTATACCACAACAGAACAACAACGATTATTCACTAAATCGTTGTTGTTTTGTAAATCAAGATAAAATTTGTAAATTATTCATTAAATCATCAATATCAACGCGAAACATTATCATCAATACCATAATCATCAATTAAATCATAAATCATCAATACCAACGCAAAACAACCACGATTACTCACTGAAAAACTGCAGCATGTGAAGAATTCGCCATCGTCGTCTGCATTCGGTATGAATGTGCGTTGTGGATGAAATCTGGAGAATGCGAAACGCGTGTCCGCTCGTCGTGTCACATAAGCTGCACCACACGCGTTCACCTCAAATGCACACTTCTTCAAACAATTCACCAAACCCTCACAATTCAATTCAATTCAATCCAACAATGATTGATAATCAATTAAAAACGCTACTTTCTTTCGACTGACCTATGCATTGAATTCTGAAGTTGAATATTACTGAATAATAGACAAAATAAATTACTCATTGAAAGACGAACGAATGAAAATAAAATAAAAGAAGATAAAAACTAACCGATCCTAGTAGAAGGTGAAAGTTGCAGAAAAATCACAAATACTAGCCTGTCTTAGGAAAGGAATAGGATTCGCCACTCAACAAAAAAAAGAAAAAACTGACCGGTTTCAGCAAAAAGCGTGATGCGATGTCAGTACGAGAGGTCGGAGGCCTTGAATCAGGACAACGATGAGGACTGCAAAACAAAAAATGATGATGCAGCTCACCTCTTTGACATTACTGATTGATTATATTTACAAGCGAACGTCATTTTGCACGCTCGATAAACTCACAATAGCAGTTGTTGTGTTTTCACAATAGAACTGCTAAGAATTCACAAAGCACATGTACTTTAGAGAGATAAATATGACGGTAACGCATTGAACAGGCGACTTAGTCGTCCCAAAATGGCTGCGCATGATTGTAAGTTGCATTCGCCTACTTTCTATGAACAGCTAAACTGTAGGATTGTCGCCTGAGGGTGTTATTTGACGAGTCGCGCAAATGCTATACACATCCCCACCTCTTTTCATGGATTTTTTTTTCTTTTTTACAACCTTTCGTAAACATTCAAATGAAGTTTGCTCTTGACGCTTTCAAAGTGATAAATGAAATGATAAGTTAAAAAAGTTTATCGCTTACTAGAACAGTGAAAACGTCGGACACGTCGATAACGGATTACGACACGATGAATGCTGTTTCCTTGAATCGATAGAACAAGTTAAAAATGAAATAACATCATAGCTATATTGAGAACAACACTGAATAATAATAACCTGCAATAATCAGTAACAATTTCTCCGAGATTCTTATGCGGTTTCAGAAGAGTGGTGACAGAAGACGAAGACTGAGTAGCAACACCAGCGCCAGCATGAGCACCGCCACAACTTGAATTCATCTTCAGTGTTAAGCGATGTCTGGCTGGTGATATTACCTGACATTCGCTGCTTGATAACGCCAACGATCCCTCATCTAGCGTCACTGCTGTTGGACCTACAAATTAGACAACAATCATTTTATATAAGTCACCAAATTCTGCTGATCAAAAACGTAACAACGACAATAGGTTAGCAATAAGACATTTGCACCGTTCCCAAAACAGTTCACTGCTCAAGTCAACAACCAATTTATAACACAACCAACCCGATTTGAAACGTTCCCTAAATGGTGTGCCGCCGACACAACTAACAGAAGAGCCAGGAACGCGTTGTGGACAAGTCGTTTCTGAAGAAATGCCACTGACCGTTGATATTGAACGCCTACAATCAGTACTGCGATCATAGCACTACTACAACATTTGCCGAATAATAACAACTCACGTTTGAGGCATCGTAGATGTTCGTGGTCTTGCCAGCGGTGATAACGTGTCACGTAATGATCGTTGCACAACTGCTGATCGATCACATGTGAATGAACTCTTCGAGATCTGAGGCTAAAATAACAACACTGAAGAAACAACCCAATAAATAATAGGCAAGTATCATCAATCAAATGCTCATTACTAGTGGATTGTAATTGGACTGCTCAACAAGACGACTGGCTGGAATGTCTGGCAGAATTGCTTCTTGTTGCAGTTGAGCTGCCGTTTTCTTCAAACCCTTCTTCAGCAGATGATGATAGATCAATTGCAAGAGCTCTTTCTCATTGAAAACGATCTTTGTATGCGAAACAATCGACGATTTCCATAATTCCTCCTGCAAGCAATTTCTTTGATCTACACTCAACAATTATACAACCATTAAAATTTCCATTTTTGAGCATACACAACAATTGAATGTTATTTGCATATTATAGACACTCGTTTCATTGGAAATGTTCTGTTCAGCGTGATTTGACATCGATCCGTTGTTAATTTGTTCAGTTTGAGTGTCAATGTAGATTGTCATTTATTAATGTCAGCACAAAATACCTGCGTTATGTCTCGGTTCGTCTCTCGCACCGATCGCTGTGTGACACGTTCGATTAAGAGTCGAGCTTGCTCGCAAAACTGTGCATGCTCTAGGCGTTTTTCTTGTAGAACCGGATCACGCATTAGATCTGAACAAGCAATCATAAACTCTCGTTTTTAATATAATAAATCGCTACGTTACCATGAAGTTCATTATTCGCAATCAACGGCATCTTGCTCAAGAGTTGACGAACAGATTCGGAACGAGCCAACCCATTCAATGCACGACAAGCAATCGCACGTCCACGATCCGCAAACAGCTCAGGACTACGACTGTATATTAAATTCTTTAGAACCTATAAATATTCTCACCGTCGTCGTGCTCATCAATATATATTTGCCTAATATCAAAAACATTCACTTACCATAATACCATTGTCACGTCTAACCGCGGCCCACATTTTCTCTAACACATCTTTTGCATCCAAAAAAGACTTTTTGGCATGTTTTTTGGGTGATGACGACGTGGTGATGGTCGATGCTGACACCGTAGCAGGTAATGTTGACTCATAACTCGTTGAAGTCATCGCCGACGACTGATCGTGATCTCGAGGCGGTGATACTGCTAAACGTCCGCCACCGCCTATCTATAAATTCAACGTACAATAACAACAACAATGCTGCTGGCCAAATGAAACTAACCTTTTCGAAGGGCGCACAAACACAATTTATAATAATATCGATAACCAGTTCTACTATTTCTGATGTTGCATGCTCCGACACAGCAAAAAGCATCCTGCAAAGACTTTCAGAATTGAATCGATTTCAAGCAACAATTTTAATTTCGAATCCATCAATGATAATTTGTTTCAATGACGACCACTGCATTAAATTTCAGTCATCATTCGATAGAAGTTAACATAAATTCAATCAAAATAAGAAGATGCATACTTGAAAGACGATTCATTCTTGAGGGTTTCACGATTGAACGCATACGTTTCACACAAATCCAACTGGAAACGTGCCACTGTTGTACACATCCACAACACCTTGAGTTCAATTCGGTTATTCAATTCAAATATACATCAAACTAAACGAACCTCCAAAATGATCTTAATCAGTTCGTCAGCCTGTTGGTCCACTTCTCTGGCCACACTCAACAATGTGAACAACGTTTTAATCACATTCAAGCGACGAATCTCCTCAATGGCACGCCACGATGTATGCATACTGAGTGCGTGCAGTAACAACGATATACATTCACCTAATGATTCATTATCCAATGTTATTGCCTGAAACTCACTTCTCAGATGAACACTTTTCATCACCTCTCAATGTGAACTCACTCGATTCGGTGGCAGTCCACGCTGAAGGCATGCTGGTATTCGAACGTTGTTCAGTCCTTGTAATCGATGCGATTGAATGCGTTTCAAATGTTCCACACGTAAATAGACATGTGTACACATATAACTGAAATGAATGAATGAGAACAATATCACACATTACTATCAATCAAATGCAACCTTCTGATTGCCGCACAAGTATTCATAATGGCTTCAGCTTTTCTCGACATTTGATTCGCATCATCTGACTGATCATCCCATTCACCGTCTTCACCATCTTTATCTTGCAGAATTTTCAATGTTGAAACCTAAAATGCAATCACGATATGTGACATCATTTCAATATCACTGCTTACAATGAAAGACTAGATTCAACACTTTTCTTCATTTATTTCTTCGACACGTTACACGACGTAAAAAAGAAACAAACAAACAAATAAATAAACAAAAACACAACCAACACAATTCAAAATACGCCGTAAACCATCAACACGATCGAATCGTTCCAAAATCGGACGAAACTGAAGAGCGTATACGAAGAATCGTGTTGCCGTAGTTCGAGCACTACAGTAGGCGCTCTCGAGCAGATATATAAAGTAGCTGCAATGGGCAACAATGACATAACAAGTGCTCATGCAACCAACAACAACCATCCAAATCAACGCAACGCACCCAACCAAACGATCCAAAGTCGCAGCTGGCAAGAGGCAAACCTTTTCCATCACATCCCGATTATACGCCAAATAATAAAGACATCTTCCGACAACCACTGCCGGTAGACTCTTCTTGTCGATTGACAATAATAACGGCACACCATCCGCTGAGACGAACTCATGCGCCATTTTACGATGAACCAACAAAGATGAAAGATACTAAACAGACACTCATTCATTTTTTGATTTCTTTCAAAATCAATTTATTATAAACCGTTTCAAATTAATTAAATATTATAATTTCATATTAATATTACATTATCATTATTATTAATGTTCCTGGTTCTATCAAAAAGTGATCTACCTTCAAAATGTGAAAAATGAGACGAGCATCGAATTTCGAGGTACATTTTAAATATTTGATAATCAACTCCAACGCTTTATTCTCGACTGCATCTTTTAAAAACTGCAACAACAACAGGTAAATATATCGAACATTATTATTATTATTATTATTATTATGTGATTAACCAACAAATCAAAAAGCCAACCACTTGATATTCTCCGAGAGGCGTTAAGAAGTGTAACAGAAGTTGTTGTTCCATGTTGATGGTAAGTGGATAGATGCGATATTCACCCATACGTTTACGTTCTTGCATGGTCCATTGACTGTTGCTTTGTGTATCCATTAGGGCTGTTAACGAGGCATTACTTGAAAATGTGGATCGCAGCGGCATTTCCTGAATGAGAAGCATGATCATTTGCAACAACAAACAGCACATCAACTCACTTGATTCGTCAGTTTGCGTCTCTTTCGAAGTGGATCTTCCGAAGGTGCTTCTCTACTCGATTCATTCGCACGTCTTACTCGCCCGCTTTTCGATGCACATCCACTACTAGCAGTAGCAGCTGCTTCTAGAGGTGATTTTAAGACGGCCGACGACGGGTGCTGAGTGGAGAGTGAGTTATTCGCATCTGCACTCTCAACTGTTCTTGTGTCGATGTGTTGCTTCTGTTGTTGCTGTTTCAACGATTCTTTTGCACTTCTAAGCACCTTAATCACATTTATGACATCGTGAACCATTCGAACACAATTTCTTTCAGTGATTTCAATGGTAATCACAATAATCAATTACAATGGATTACTCCCATTCAGGACAGTCATGCGAGTGAATGCACAATCAAATAATAACCATTTTATCGGCCATTACTAACCTCAGCCAGTTCAGGTCTCTTTTCACCGGCATTAAAAGTTTCGCTTTGAATACCTGCAAACGGGCCGCTTTCTTCATCCTCTTCAGATCTCTTCAACTTTTCAGCTCTCTCACAATTCTTATTCAGTCCAGCTTCACCTCCACCTTCATCTACAGCATTGTCATCATCTGCTGCAGTTTTCATATCTTTTTGTTCATCTGTTGTTGTTGTGATTTGTTCCTGAAAATTTCACTCAACCTACCTCGAGAACAACACAAAAAATAATTTTGCAATCCACAAAGCGACCATCTATCTCTAAAGGCGATAATCAATCAAATTCCCAACACCCATCACAAACACTTACGTAAATTTCCTTTAATCGATCCAACGCAATTTGAATAAGCACCGAATTCTCATTCTTGTGATCGCCTGTGGTTTCGCTGTCTTCCAAAAGTGCTCCTAATAGTACCAATGAATAGCATTGAAGCGTTCGATCAGTAGGATTCGAAATTTTGGCTCGTTCAAACAATAGTGGAATTATATCAGCATGCTGAAAATAAAAATACAAACAATTCATAAAATCCCAAAATTTTTCTCACATTCGTACGCAATCATTCAGAGAGTTGAATGAAACAAAGCATTTACGAACCGTTGAAACCAATTCAACGACCATGAAAAGATTGCCATAATGTAATCCAGGTAAGAGATGAAGTAACACTCGTGATGCAGCAATATTTAACGGCTCATTATCGCGTGCTGATACATACGATGTTATTAACTGCAAATTAATGCATCTTCACAATTCAGTCATTCATTTGTACATAACCATTTTGATACAATGAGAATAAATTGAATAGAACGCATCTCAGCTAACCTTCAGCATGAATTCATCATTCCTAATCAGCAACTTTAACAGATGACCAAACGCGCACGATGGCTGCGTCCTTGATGGATGACGATCGTCTAGTGGATCTGGGTCTTGTTGCAAGTATTCTTCTTCTGCTGATTCGATTAACTCAGCAATGCTAAATATGAATCAAAATCGACGAAAGTTTGTTACGACTTCAAGTGCAACTTACACACTCAATTTGAACACACATAAAAAATCATGAATTTACCCGATTAATGTTGCTAGATGATCAAACTCTGGATCATGGTGTGCAGCTTCCCAAACTTCTAAGATAGCTTCCAGCTGACTCTGTGCATCGCCCGTTTCCTTTGAGACGACAGATGAAGAGGTACCGCCGCCACTCGGATGCGGTGCTGTTGATGACTGTTGACCAGCTGTTCTAGACGCTGATGACATGATCTGACAATATTACACAGTGCTTAATGCCGTTGCTCACCTTATTTCAGCACAACAATGCGCATGCCACTTGCAATTTTACATACGGTGCTTACAAGCACGCTTAACGTTAAGAATATAATTACAACAAATGCGACGACACAAGACTGTATTCAAAATGCATTTAAAAGTGAACGAACGCATCATCAATTTCGAAGGAAGGTCATGATAATTCAGTGTATTTCTTATTAAAACACCTGAAACTAGCATCGTATACAAGGATGAGGAAGGGTGTAGGAGGCAGGCGCCCTCCTCCTTAGAGAGTGGAAAAAAAACGAAAAATAAGAGGGTGGGAGAAGGATAAGAGGGAAGAAAGGAGAAAAAGTGGGGAAAAGGGAAGAAAAGAAACGCGGGGAAAACGGACGATAAAAAAGTAAACCGACGAAAATCCACCCCAAAAATCAGCTATTTTTTGCACCAGATCATTTATTTCCTCTCAAATCCCTGAAAAAAATCCCCCAACCACGTGCCACTGACACATTTTCGCGTTGCGTAAAGTGTTTTTTCGAACGTTCTGTATTTGCATACGGAAGTGGGCAGGCTCAGGCCCAAGCTTATGGCTCGTCGTCTCAGGAAAATCACAAACGTCCAAACCGAGCCGGCCCATCACTATTGCTTGCCCATCAACCCATCTTTTTTTTTTCGAATACTGCTTTCTTCGTGTGTGGGCATTATGATGGTCTGCCAAAATCACGCACTGTCACTTCGCCAAATTTAATGAACAATAGGCGAGAGATTTACCCCCTGGAATTGCCACCCTAACACATCCTCTCGACTGCTGCGAGAAATGAGACATTTCAGTTCGAATCTCGTGGTTTGGCCTAGATTTGGGCACCTTTGGTGACTTTTTGGGAAATGTGAATTCTCAGGTGTAGTAATCAATTGAGGTATGATGTCCTCGACGAAACAGCCGAAATGTTGCCTGTCGGTTTTCCCGGAGAAGTTATTATTTCTTGATATGACCATGATTTTGGCTAAAACCTGCGGTTCCATCCCGCGGCTACGTTATGTGAATGATACCTTGCGCAGAAGTCATAAACTGGAGAATAAATGTTCCATTTCAAATTTCATGTCTTTAAATGTGAGTATTGAAAAAAAAAACATATGCATATATGATAGCTCAGTAGTGATATATGGTGATAAGCGGTCTTCAATACATCATCACTAAAATTGAATTCTTATCAAGTTTTATGCTTTTGCGAGTAATTTTCAACTGCTTTTTCTACCAATGACATTGTCACATCTATGAGGCAATGCAATGCAACAATTATGAACGAGCGATCCCCTATATACCCCATTCTTCTGTGGTGAAAATGAATGGCTATTGGCGGACGAGATTTTCAACACATAGCATTTACAAATAGATCGCTTGTTTTGGTGTCACCACCAGATTTTGATCCATCTCCACAACGTTTCTACAAGTCAGTGGTCAGTCTCTTGCCAGTGCTTATCCATTTATTTTTGCTCATAACTGAACAAACGAACAAAAACAACAACAACAACAACCACATCTAGTGCATAAACTCTTCAGCAACTATGTGCTATAAAAAGAATGACACTAACTAAAGCAACGGTAATCATCAGTCACAACTATTAAGTTTCGTTGTTGAAATTTTGAACAATAATTCAGTCTTTATAAACAAATAAAACCAAACACTTAGTTGAGTATCAAATTTACTTGCGATCACTATTGGACTTGAGATCAGAATGAGTGAATCAATTTGATCAAATCAAATTCACAATATCCAAGTGAATCAATTCAAACTCGAATTATTCATGAACTCAACTCATTCAAATGATATGTTGCAAAACATTTGTATCGAATAAAGCTGCTGAATAAAATCTGGGATCGATGTGAATCACTTAAAAAATATACCTAGAATTGAACAACAACTACAAAAGATGAGCTCATATTTCGCGCTATATTCATATATGATTTCAGTTTCTTGAAACGAGACGACGATACTAATAATCAACGATTTGCTCAGTTCAAATATATTCGTAAGTTGGACTGTTCAGACTCATATTTGCTTCCATCTCACAAACACAAAGAAAGCGATGATTCTACAGAGAAAAATTGAAAATAAAGAACAGTCTTTCATGATAGAGTAACTTTAAAAAACCAAACAAATGAACAATTAAAGAAATCAAATGAAAAACAATTGGGAAATCAATACGTTGACTGTTGACGAACAATTTTAAAGCAATATAAGTTATGGGAAGTAAACAAATTGAAAACAATATGCAACAATCAAACACATAACTAACTCATAACAATAACAATAACATAAATCAATTACACCAACAAATACGGCTAGATATATTTGTCAATGTTGCCTTCAAAACGTCAAATGATGAACATAGTAAAAGATCAATTCAAACGTCGACTACAATTATGAGTAGTCTATATAAAATTGATTATCTCATAAACATAAACTAAATAAATAAATGGCAATATCATCATGAATTTATTGTTCGTGAACAAACAAAGAAGAAACACAACCATATAATCATTCCTCAATTATTTACAAATACAACAAGATTTTTTCGATGAGAATGAGCATTGATAATCTAAATAATATAATAATAATCATTATAAATATATACAAGTTAGCAATAAGTAAATATCACGAAGAGATGAAAAGATGACCGGAACTGAATTGTTTCAAAAGGATCGTTCAAACAAACAGATAAACAAATACAACTACAAATATACCCATGAGTATATTGTTAAAATGAAAGACTTCATTGAATGTGTTAACTAAAAGAATAAATCGCAACGCAGTTGGTAATAAAGTCGAATCGATCAAAACACAATTAAGCTTTATCTAATGATTTGAGTGACGGTGATGGTGATGTGTAGATGAGTTGAAGTAATTTACCGAGTCGACTCGTTTCGTCCAGTTGTCGTCCGTAACTTGCCACTATTGTCTTCATTAACTGTCTGGATTCGATTAGACGTGCGTTCAGAATCGCATTATCCATCTGAAGACGTTCACAATGTCTTCTTATATTCGTCTTATTATTGTTATTATTATTATTATTATTATTACTTGTAGTTTTAATGCATTCAGATGTTGGATTTCTTGTAGAAGATGGACAGAATTCCTGTTGATTATAAAGATGGTTGTTTTGTTGTTGTTGGGTTGTAAATGATTTCGACTGCGACTTCGTTTCGGATGATGAAGATGAAGGCAAGAGCATCATCGCTTGATTAGCGTGTTCAACATTTTCAGAGCGAGACACATTTTTGCAAGTACACTGAAGGTTAACATCGAGCTCGATTGTAGACTGCTGGTCGACGTGTTGTTGAAGAGGTCGTATCAATGCGCACCTTGACGCCCGCATTATTCGCGTCCGTTGCTCACGTCTACTGAAACGTAGCTCTGAATTTTCACTGCCACCCAAACCGGCATGATAGCGATAATAACGATAAGAAGTCGGCTGTTGTTTGTTGTGATGCTGAGAGATGGCCGAAGCGGCACAAGAAGAACAAGATGCAAAGTATGAGGGATGAGGTGATGAGGATGAGAATAACTCGGTGATTTGATCAGCTTGCACTGTTGCTGTTGTTGTTGCGCTTGACGGATTGCTATGGTTTGCTTCATCAGTATTATCCAAGTTTTGATGATGATTACTGAACTGCTTCGACGATGCGCCGCCATTCAACGACAAAAACAATCGCAACTCTGTGAGACGTTCTTTAGCCAGCTCCAAACGACCTTTCAACTTTTGGTTCTCATTTTTCAGTAATGCTTTCTCCTGAAATAATCTTACTATTACGACACGAAACCAACAACAACAACAAACGACTACGAGTTACAATATTACGCACTGAACATCCCACCAATTCAAAAATAAACAAACCTAAACTATATTTTAACGGAATATTCAACAACCACAATTCAGTTTTCTAACAAAAATTTTTCATCGACCAATACTTATTATTGATTCCATAAATGTCTTAATAATTGCCAGCTGTTTGCTTCTAACATTGATAAATGAAAACGTTCGCAAGCATTCACTCATAAACGCAAAAGCATAAAGAAAGCAAACAAAAAAGTGCTTCAGATCAAATATTTACTCACCTCAATTAAACTGTCCGCACTTGAGCCGACATCTTCGATACCGCTTTCGATTCGTTGCACAGCGTTATCTTCAGTCAGTGCCGAATAAACACTTTTCAATTTACTATCAACCAATTCGCATCGTTCACATCGACTCTTGTTTGATGATTGTTGTTTTGAAACTGATACTGATGATGACGATGAGATTGTTGCTAACTTCTGAAACGGTTCATTTCATTTCAATATATCGCAACATCAAAATGCCGAATTTACATAAAACTCATCTTAATCTTAAAACTACAAATACATTCGATTCGATATTAACAAGCTGACGACCATCAATCATTTCATTCTCTTTCTACAAACATCTATGCATCGCTTAAGGAAACAACCAATTGCTTCAAAAAAAAAACTCATTATTATTCCCATTATGCAAAAATAATCAGAGCATTAATAACAATAATAACTTGTTGAACGATGAAGATGTACGGTGAACAGAGCTGATAATAAACACGACCGTAATGAACGCACTGCATGTGCATATGATTTTATAGCACAAATATTACTGATGCAATACTGATTGCACGAAATTTTGACTCTTTGAAAAGCATCAAACTTGCTTAATGTCTTATTTAAGTTTAAAGTTGCACATCATTGCATCGCTATAACATCATATGGACCACGATCGCAATCAAAGACCATTTTACAAAAACAATAATTATCTTACACTATCGCTCATCGGTAATGAAAAAGTGGCCAACTGCTTTGTTTTCGCTTTTTCAACATTCAGTAAATTCACCCCTGCATCCTCTTTCCTTTCCATCTTCTCTTCTATATCCAAAAAGCGTCGAGTGCTTGTCGGCAGAACGTCACTATTCCTTCAATTTTCTTACACCTTTCAAAAACACACTCATAACAGCTAAAACAAACCGCATTATTAACAATAAAATGATCATAATAATAACAAACAAACTCACCGATACTTTTCAATCAATGCAATAAACGAGGACGGCGACGAATCGGTTGGCTTTAACAGAGAACGGAACAGATTCAATTCAATTCGATATTTCTCTTTCAGTTCTGCCAGTTTCTTCTCATAACCATTTCGTTGACCACGTAACGACGATTCAAGTTGCTAATAATGAACAGAACAATTTTAGAATAACTATTACAACAACAGCAGTAATAATATTCATAATAATAACACAATAATAGTAATAATAATAATAATAATAATAATAATAATAATAATTCCGAAACTGATGAATGTAAACAAAAGATGTAACATTAAAAATTGATTTTTACCTCAATCTGACGTTTGTAATTCCGTGAATCATCCGAGGCTGATGCAACCGACAGTGGTGGTGGTGGTGCTCTAAGGCGTGCTAATTCTTGTTCGAATTCTTGCTTCAATTAAAGACTGATGACGATAGTAATAGTAATAGTAATAATAATAATAATAATAACATCAACAAAAGCACAAGAAGCATCAATCATAATAATAAAATTAATGAGCAAACATCACTATTTATAAATCAATCTATCCTTTCTCAAAATCAAAATCAAAAAAACGATAACTCAACTTAATGCATGCACATACTCAATCAATTCCAATATACTCACTCGTACAAAAAACAACAACAACAATGATAAACAAATAATTTGCAGTCGTTACAAGATCAGTAATGTTGTAACGTTGTGTTTTCGTCATCATCGCTTGCTCGTACATCTTTCTAAACTTAGAACGCATCTTCAAGCCCTATCAATAGTATCAAAGACAGAAGCCACTGCTTGAACTTTTCATAAGCCTCAGCATTGCGTCATTGTGAACTAGGCATGCATCTATCTCAACCTCATGCTAAGTCTCAGGTCCTAACCACTTGATGAACCTCAACCGAATGCAATTTGAGGTTGGTGCGTACCCAAACCATATAACAACTCGTCGTTACTCAATAATTACAAACGTATTTATTTCCTTTCCTTCGCCTCGTCGTTCACTTCTTCAAAAAATCAAAACAAAACACACCCCAAGCCAAATTAACACACACCTGCAATCGACTAATCAATTTCATTTTCTCTTCAGCAAATTTCCTCTCCAATGAATTTCGCTCACTAGCGAGCTTAATCTCGAATTGACGCCGTTCTTTCTCGAAACTAAAACACCATAATCATTATCAAGTTAAATGTTACGTAATGCAGCTTATAATAATCAATAACACTCATAATAATAATAATAAATAATAACCGCAAAAATTCTGTATACATACATACCTATAGGTTCACTTATTAATGCTCCTCAGTAAAAACAAATGAAACAACTAAACACCATAAATGAAAAAAAATTTTCGAACATGTAAAAGCTGAAAAATAGAAAAGTGCAAGCAAAAAAGAAGCAAACCTTTGTGTGATTTGACGTTGTTGATCATTGAGTGCGTCTGCAAGGGACTTATTCGTGGATAGTTTGAGGGCGATGATCTCTTTACGATGTTCTTCTTTCAATTTGCTAATTTCTTCGTCTTTGATTCGCCGAATCTGTTCACATTCATCATTTTGCATCATCACTTTCATAACCTTACGATTAGTGCAATCAATGGATGCACTCGCTGCAGCAGTGGTAGATGACGATGAGCCGAGCAATGATTTCAATTCTTTTTCGGTCAGTGTTTTTTGAAGCAGTTGAAGGTGAGTGTTGTTCTCTTTGAGTGCACCACTGCCGTTCACACCAGCTGTGGTCGTGTCATCTAAATAATAACAATTATACACCACTCAGAATTGAATAACCTCCTCAAATGATCATCTAAACAAACAAACTTGATGAAGAAGAACTGCCTATGGGATGTGCAACGCGTTCGTGTCGACGTTTACGTTCTCGTATCTTCAGTAAACGTCGTTTACGTGATCGGACAAAGATCGATTCTGGTTCACTTTCCATTTCTTCAACAAGAAGAATTATTCTATTTTTAATCACTCAATTCCTCACAGTCAGTCAAATTCACGTTCAAGACCAAATCACCTCACCATTCACGGTTTTTTCATTGTTTATAATGAAGAATATGCTTGCTTGAAGAGAGATGTAAAGTAAAGGTTAATGAAGGTATAGTTTCAAGCAAAATGCAACAGTCCTATGCTCATTACGTTACAAAATGAAACAGCAGCAGCACTATGTTGAAGTAATAAAACAACAAATAAGAAAAGACCAGATAAGGTATCGTTATTTATTCTAGCCATTCGTCGTTTCCTAATCGCGATAAGTTGAGATCTAAAGGCACTCGTCCAACGCATATACAACGGATCAACACCACGTATCGATAAATGCTTTTTACGATCACTATTCATCAATTCATCCACTTTGTCACGTAATCGCTGAAACAATCAATCTTGCCTGAATGCTTCCAGCCCTCTGACACGTCTAATAATGAAAAGACAGGCCTCGCATATGCAACAATACGAACCTTATTGTGCGCTAACAACAACTCTACACGATTCTTCCACATGACGTTCGGAATTCGGTCATCGTTGAAATTTCTTTTCGAGATAATGTTTTTATTGAGTTCAATTTTCAATTTACGATTCAACTCTTCGATTTGTTGAATTGTTTCGGATAATTCTCGTGTTTCATCATTCAATCGTTCACACTGCCGTTCCACTAACTGCAAACGATTCCGAGATGCACACTCTGACTGACGTACTCGAGACAGCTCTTCTTCAGCCTACAGCGTTATTACCATTAAGTTCGACAACTAGCTAGTCAGATGCAGAATGATCATGCAATATTATCGAAATCATGCACGAACATGAACCTGTGTTAATTCATTCATCAGTTCTTTCTTCTCAACTCGGAATCGATCCTCCATCTGACTCACTCTTGTACGATAGCGTTCTTCAGTTTCTCTATAAATCAAATTCAGATAACATCATCACTACTGACGATGATAATCAAATAAATGAATCAACCTTATACGCTGTTCGTAACCCTCTTCGATCGACAACTGATTATTTTCCAGCTCTTCAATTAATAGTGTTCTGCGTTGATTCGCTAATTGAAGCTGCTTGTGCAGATGCTCCGCACGACACTCGCCTTCCCTTACCATACACCTGTGATATATTAATTTCCATGAAACGTTTATTACTAGTCTTATCACCGCTAATATTATCTATACGGACACTAAATACTGTACCAATCTCACAATCAATAATCATAATAATAACAGCAATAACGATAATAATAACAATAACAATAATAATAGTAATAACGATAACAATAATAATAAAAAGACTGAACATGCCGAAACTATAATGCAGTACAGCAACGGAATTAATATATAATGATAACAATAACAACAAAGTTTTCAATTTATAGAACCGGTTTAACTCTATTCATACTCTCTTTCACGCAATATTAACATTTTTATTTCCAGAATCGTTCTTTCACTCCATTATCAACATATTTTTCCACTTCAGCGCGTACATACATTCAATTATGAAACGTTTAAAAATTTTTATCAATGTAATAATTATATATATATATATATATATATATATATATA